TCCCCTCCCCTCCTCTTCCTTCGCCTCTCCTTTCCTATCTCTATTCTTCTATATGCCACCACTACCCGTCACTAACTTTGTGTCTCCTCTCTCTTTTCCTCTCCTCTCCTCTCCTCCCTTCTCCCCCTCTCCTCCATCTATATACCACCACTACCCATCACTAACTGTCTCCTCTCCTGTCCTACCCCTAGTGCTGCTCAGGGGGTTTGTTGGGTTATTCCTCTATAATAATAATAATAATAGTGAGGTCTAGATCTGACTTTGCAAAGTGTCCTGAGACGACTGTTGTTGTGATTTGGTGCTATACAAATAAAATCTGAATTTGATTTCTTCCACCATATTAAAGTTCAGTAGGCTTCCTCTGCCCTTCCTCTTGGTCCACACATGTACAACACAGGCAGCAGCTCCTAATGTGCACAGGTGTATTCAGACTAACAGCTGCGGCTGTGCTCATTTGCATCATCAGTGCCGGTCAATATGCACATCTCAGTGATCAGTGACAGATTTAGCAAATATCTCCCCGTGTCTCCCACCTGTGCAACGTCAGGATATCGTCTCCTACCTGTGTGAGGTGAGGACGACGGAGCGCCCCTCCTTGATGACGCTGTGGATGCAGTTCCAGAGTGCACGGCGAGCTTTGGGGTCCATGCCGGTGGTGGGCTCATCCTGTAATGAGGAGCACAGCCGGATTGAACTCAGTCCACAGGTGGAGCAGGAAACACAGAGCGGCATTGTATAAACTGATGTGAACTTGTTCTCTCCTCAGGAAACAGCAGCTCCTTTTAATTCTCCCTCTGTCACATTCTGCTGAGCCACTCTCTGATTGGCTGAGAGTGGTCAGGTGCTGTGTTGTGTAACTGTTCTGCTCTGGAGCTTTAACTCACAGCCGCACTGTAAAAAAACTAACATCTCACTCCACCCTAACGCGATACAGGCCCATATCTTTGGTTTCCAGATCTTTCAGCCACATCTTGTGGTCTTCCTCAGAGGACTGAGTTTGTCATGTCATGTGCTCTTAGTGTGGAATCATTTGATAACCACACAGTCATCCCCAAGAGAAACTCCAGCAGCTGAGGAAGTCCCCCTGTCATGTGACCTGAAACAAAAGGTAAGCTGGACCTTGCGTCTGGAACCGCTGTCAGGAATCGGCTTTAAAGTGAAACCTTCCAGTGCTCCACCAGCATGAAACACAGGGCGCAGTGCACCCACCGGTGCTGAGCTGGCTAACACAGGACTGCACAGATTAGAGGTGAAGAAGAAGGTGTGCGTTACCAGGAAGACAACA